CGATATAATAGTTTACAACTGCAGTGGGGTTTTCACAGTTCTACAAAGTTGGTGAGAAGATAGTTTTATGTCTGCAAAAATCCGTGTAAAGAGACGTGGACGGAATGCGGCTAATGCCGTTTGGACTCCAGAGGCTCCGAGCTCATTTTAAAAGTGGCAAGATCACCAAATCCGCTAAAAACTTGTATATAGGGGTAATTCAACATCCTGATCACGAATATGACATTCATTTTTGGCGCTGGCGCTAATGGATGACACTACGGTTACCTGCGCTCTGCTAAGGCTGAGCCCAGGAGGTAATCGTAGTGTCCTCTCTTGGCGCCAGCGCCAAGAATGAGTGTCATACTGATGTTGAATTACCCCTATATACAAGTTTTTAGTGGATTTGGTGGCTTAGGCAATTTGAAAATGAGCTCGGAGCCGAAATTTCTGGAGTCTAAACGGCATTAGCCACGAAATGCAGCCGAGTGGCTTCCCACCGATAATACCATACGGCGCCCGCCACACATGGTGGAAAAAGCTGACCTAACTGTGCTCCAATCGACGCCACTTCACTTGCCCTCTCATATATGAAGATAATGACTGTAGATCAGATAATAAACTTGGGCTATAATGCTGCACCTAATTGAGGACGCGAAAGCTGAGAGAGCAGATTGGAAAACAAAAGGAAAGGAAATCCATTCAGCGCTGAAGCGATGTGAAGTGCTTATGGCTTCCATTGAACTGATTTATGTGGTGAAATTTTAATTTTTGGCTTGAAGTTGGGCGCTTCAAATTCCGCTTTACTTCTTACCAACCTAATAACTCGTAGTTCACTCGCAAATTCCTTACCCTTTATCGCTGAGCACTCGTTGAAGAGCAGTGGCCAAAGTATCACGATTAAATTCCTCCTTCGCGATCACAATGGTCGTGTTTTTCGCTGCCACGAGATACGCATTTCTAAAAGCAATTGGAGCAAGCACCAGACAGTATTGCGATAGTGTAGCGTCTATTTTCCAAAGCCAACTTTCAGGTAACACTTCAGACCTGAGTTGGTCGCCGAAAAGCGGAACCAGTATTGACGGCTTTCCTATTCTTGTCAACTCCAAGATACTGTTGATGCCAGCATGTGAAACAAAACATCGCAGACTAGGGTGGGCTGAAAGACATTGATAGCTGCGAGAGTTCAGAATCGGAAGATCTAGTTTGATAAGTTGGAAAAAGATGTTCTAATGCAAGAAAAGGCTAACGTTCCTATCTTGTGCGCTCTCCTGCTCAGCTCTTCTAGCTCCTCTAGAAAGAAAGAGTTGGGGTAACATGTTGTATGAGGCTGCGGACTACTGGGTGCGGAGTATTACTTCCCTGTCGCAGCACCCTAGTACGAATTGACCTGGGAGATAGATTCGAAATGCTGTGCCGCTGCCGTGTCGAGTAGGTTGGGTCATGGTATGGACACTGCGAACGCTACTCCACTTGCAACGCCTACCGTCGCGAAAGCGAATCAAAACTCCCACCCAGACCGTTCACTGTTGCTGGGGGTGGCTAGTCGGAAAAATATTGAATATCGCAGCTGTCAACAGTTATGCCGTCACTGGGGCGCCACTGAACTATTGCCACCTCTCGCCCGCCTCTGCGGCCCTTCACCTACACCGGACAACTCGTCCAGGTCGCTCACCACCTTGACTCACATGCAATACTACATCGAAAGAAAGCCATCATAGACGCTGAACTACGTATTGATGAGTTGACTGCTATTCTGCTACTTATGAGGAAAATTTACTGTGAGAGTGATAATGAATTTTTCGTAATTTGTTGTTTAGCGAGACTAATCAAGGACGTATATCAAAATAAGCGATATGAACGAATTTTCCGGGGCGGCACATGGATGGTAATTACAGCCTGCAGGGCCCATTAGCAGTGCGATAGATGACAGCGAACAGCCGTGTTGTTGTCCTGTCATGTAACAGTCAAAGTCTTGTGCAGGTCGCCTCACCCACAGTTCCATATCAATCTCATCAAATGCTAGATCCTCACCTATAAGGGCTGCTTGAGCAACCCAGCTAAAGGTGTGCAAATTCGGAACACCTTGAATCACGTCGCCTTCATCAACCTTCCATATGAAGTCATGATTTTTAAACATTTTTGCTACTTCGATTATACCTTCACGAAAGTTCTTAGGCATCTGAAATAAATTGAAATCAGCGGGGTTCTTGCAAGTTCTTCGAGAAACAACAGTTTCACCTTCTTAGTCGACACGACTGAACCAAATGAGATGTATACCACACCCATTTTGGCCTTCTCCACAATTTGCTGCAATTTCTGGAAGGACAGGGAGAATTTGAGAATTTCTCCTGTGCACCTGTATTAGTAAAAATTTCGATGACAATTTTACCTCCGATAAAGGAGGCGCTCCTTGCAGGGATGCAACTCCACCAATGTGAACAACTTTAAGAGATGTCGGGCGAGCGACTTCAAGAAACTCATCCGAATTTGACAGTAAGTAGTTGCCTTTGCTCTTGTAGTATTCATCGTCGGTTTCCAAATTGTGTCGAGCCCACACCTCCTGGTAATGAGTGCTGTAACTGACGTATATTCTAGTCACTACAAGGCAACTACTTGTTCTACTGTGTTGTTACGTGCAAGGCGCTGAAGTATGTGAAGGAGTAAAGAACGATAATTTGGTACTCGATCCAATATGGTAGCAGGGATGCTATATGAGGTGAAATGATGAAAAAAGGAAGTGAAAGGGTCGAGTTCTGTCAATGATCGTTTGTTCTGCCGCATTAAATGAGTATACAATTGATCGAAAGCATTTTTTACGAGTCTCTCGTTGGCATCACGCCGGCTACCGCTCCATACGGCTGCATTTGTGTATCATACATCCACGCGAAACCGTAGTCACTTCATGTCAGTTGTACTTAAGCAATGAAGCGATGAGTATTAACATCGATGTGGCTATTCGCCCATTTGTGGGAGAGCGGTTGCGGTGGGCGCTTGGGTCGACGTGTTGCATCATGGTTAGACACTATAAAGGCGCCCCTTGGGTGAAGGGTACCACGCAGCGTCTGCTGAAGTGAACAATATTCTTCCGAGCTGAGCATACGTACCCAAACGACCTTGCCGTTTTGTCGTGCCACTTGCCTTTGATCCACATCACCTTTCATCCTTTCTACCCACCCTCTCTTGTTGTTCACCATTCCCTTCGGGGAGCATCAGGGATGAGGAAAAAATGATTCACCTTTGTTGGCCTGCACGATTCAACACATATTCTCTGTATAGTGAATTTACCTTGTACGCTCTTCGAAACTGTGAAGAATAGAAATTAGAGAGTGTAATAGCAACAAAGTTGATGGTTCTCTCAACGAAACTCATTCGACCGCTATATGGTAGGAGATACGCTGTAATTATCGAGGAATGACTCACCAATGATGGCCCTTCATTAACGTTAGTAGTAACAGATTAATGTCTGGAACAGTCTTGGCCACGATGTGAGGTTAAGGATAATTCCAGGGATCGTTTCATAGAGTCATGATGTACGTTATACGAATATATGGGACGACCTTTCAGCACATGGAGTGCTGTTCCGAACGGTGCATGGAATGCTGCAGGTAAACAGCCTTGTTCGCTGGGGACGCTGGAGCATTCCAAGGAGGCTTGTTTGACGGGAAGCTAGCCAGTTTTTTTTTCCACTAATTGTGATGACCGGCCAACCCGTATAACTGTTGCAGAAGGGACTGGAGGTACTGGTAATCCCCGCATCTGCAGAAGGAACTGTTTCTAAATTTTCACAGAAGTGACGATCATTCTTCCTGTGCATTTCTGGAATGCCAAGCATGTTCTGGAATGCCAAGAATGTATAGTCGCAATCTACTGCAGTCATCACCTTTGCAAAGGAGAGAAAGTGTGAGGAGATATGAAATGGAACGAA